AGAGCCAAACATCTCAATTCCGATGCGTTTATTCGTTGTGTCAGTGGTAATTAATTCGACCGGTATCTTAGAATTGTGCAGGCGTAAATTTCCTGGCATACGACGGAGACATCCCGCCGAAGTTTAGGCAACCAGTATCTATGTCTCGCCGTGTTGTCCAGTTCCCCGTGCCCCGCATGACCGGGTTCATGGTGCAATGTGCGTAAGACGCTACGTCAATTAGAAGGAGGGCGGAATTTGTATCGTACTGGAAGCATGGTACATGCTGAGTCGTGAATATTTTGTACCAGAATGCTCAAAAAGTTTGTGTTTCCTGGCTTTTCCGGGCATCTGTTTTTAGTGTTTACCAGAGCGTCGCGCGAACTTATCGAAAAGTCCAGGTCTGGGTCATTCGCCTGGATATGAGCATAGATTACGGCTAAATTGGTCAATGACATGGCAATTAGCTCGAGATCCTGGCAAACAGAGCAGCTGTGGGGCTCATGTATGGGAATTCGTGGCACGGCGTCTGTGTACAGATGCCGTCTTACTGGGCAGTGTGAGATAGTAAAATCAAAGTCGCTAGCATCTCTTGCCACCGCTCTTCTTGTTCTTCCTTCCGATTTGTCGAGTGTACGGCTGACATATTCGATGACTTGTTCTCTACCCTCAGTATTTGTCCATGACAGCACTTCACCGATCTTATGCCTACTAGCGTCTGTACCTAGGGTGACCACGGGACTACTGCGACTGAATTCTGGGAAGATAACGATGGAGGCGGTAAGGGTTTCCTTGAGGGGAAAGAATACGCGTTCGCACTCGGTTATCAACCAGAATGGTCGGGATTTCTCTGTTAGGCTGGTAAGCGGGAGAACAAGGCGGGTGTATGACAGTATGAGGTCCTTGTGGTAACCTGCCTACCCTAGGGCTGATCGGACCTCGTTTCCGTTGGCTGATTGCGGTTAACCGGGATTTACTCAGGGTTAGTCGTGAGACCCCGACTGCTAATGACATGACCGAAGAATCGAATTTATGTTTGAAGAAGCTTGCATTTCCTTAGATTGAGCGTTAAACCGACGTCTTCGTATTTCGTCAAAACCTCTGAAGGTTGTCTTGGCATTCTACTGCGGTTGCACGCCATACAAGTACATCGGCAAAGTACTCGGGACACTTAGATAGACATAAGGCGCTGGTAGGTCGCCGCCGCGCTAACCAAACTCAATGGTAACTTGTTTAACTTTAATAGTGCCGATGGCAGTGTAATGGCAGTCCTGGCGCGATCTCCGGATGTACTTCAATTTGAAGGACAGGTCGAGGGTAGTGAATAATTCCTTGCCTTCCATAGAGTCGAGGAGGTCATCTGGACGAGAAAGGGAAAATGAGTCTCTGACGGTGACAGCATTCAAGCACCTGTAATCGACACAGAGCCAAGGGGAATTACCATTATTTTTAACCCAAGTTACCGGAGCTGCACAGGGGAAGTATATGGTTTAATCATGCCTTGATGAGGCACATTCTCCACCAAATTATGCAGTTCTTCTAGAAAGTGAAAGGGTATCCGTTGGGATGGGATATGTTTTGGAGCAGCGTTGCCGGTGTTTATTCGATGCTGGACAGTTCTGGTCCGTTCAATAGCCTGGTCTGGCCAAAGGTAAACGAAAGTGAATGGCACCAGTAAATGATAAAGGGTCCAATGGTCAGATATCTGAATGCTTTCTGGGAGAATATCTTGAGTGGAGGATTCAGCATGCTTTCCTCAACAAAGATCTTGTAATACCTGCCAGTTCGTTCTTTGATAACGTGCTTCAATCTGCGGTTAATAGATTTATACCTTACCTAGTCTACTTTGACTTAACTGAGTTTTCTGATGATTTTGTCCACCCTTTAATTCTTTCGAAACATTCCTGTTTCGGCATAGGTTACAACCTTCTGGATTTAGTATCCTCAAACTTTGGCTCTCGCACACGAATAGTAAAAATTTCTAAGGTTATATCAAACCTCACGTGTATAAAGATTGAAGTTATTCAGGATAGCGCACTTAGCCCCCTCATGTTTAGACTCTTATCAACGATGTTCCCGATTTATTTCAGAAGGGTTGGGCCTCCACTTATGCTGACGATCTGAGAGTCTCTCTGTCGACACAAACCGTCAGACCGCATAATTGTGCTTGAACTCTTAAATCATGATTTCTAAGCATTTGGCGGGCAGTGCTGCGCATGGCGTCTTTCCCTTTTTTTTGTTACATCTGCTCCGTTGTTGGTGTTTACGAGCTACCTCAACTATGCAAATACGGTTTCAACCAAAAGATGTGAATTATTAAGGACCTGTGCATGTCACATTCTGTTGGGAATAATACTATTCCTCCAATGAGTCAGTACACTAAAAGGCGTCGCAACCTACCTAGCTGCCCAGCCAGCGATGTCTCCTCTATTCTGATTGGTCCATGTCTCCGACACTGTCTCTCATGCGGACCATTAAGTACACACAGCTTTTGTGTGAGAACAGCTTGCTCCAACTGGTTTTATGTGAATACACGTCCGCTCTTCGCCGCTGGACATCTCTTGCTCTGAGTACAGCAGTGGAGATAGCTCACAGTTCGTGCTTTTTACAAATATCAGGCACGGATCATAATATATTCCAAAGGGTCTTTATATATCCGAGTAGTTTCCGTTACTGTCTCAAATGAACGCCGAAACACCGGGTTTTTTCCAGCAGTTTTAAAACTATCTATCTTAGATCCCGCTCTTATGAACTGTACATCTTTCACGGTTTGGAATACTGCTCGTTTATATGTAACCTGTGCGTTAATGAACGGAATATAATTGAATCTGTCCTGCACTACAAGAGATGTATCCTAGGAATACCATACTCCGACGAAATAACAACGCTCTAGGCTTACAAAGACAGATCCATTGTAGTCTCGCTGATTTCAGGAGGGAATATTTTATACAGTTTACACTTTTAACCGTCGTTCATTTTATACTCATTATTCCAAGACAGTTTTATCACTTTCGGCGCAGCAATCACTGCGATAGCTTTTCATTTCTTTCGTTGGCAGGCAAAATTATATATTTTACTTCTTTTTGGTAAACTGCATTGCAATTTTGAATAAGCTATCCAGAAATATCAAATTTATGCAAAATTATCCCTTATTTAAGGGAATTATTAATGCTTTTCTACGTTCAGAAGATATTTAGCGAATGTTGGGTGCCAAATCGATGGAATCTATATTCGAATCTGATGGCGGTCGTGACTTCTGATTCGTCGCAGGATTCATCTTGAAGGCACTAGTACTGACTATTCAGGCCACAGCGACCAACTGTTTGCCGAAGCATTCTAATCCGGTGCATACTTTCAGTCCTATAGCACCATCTATTGACTTAAATCACTATGCATATGTGCTCATCCTTCCGTAACCTTTCTACTAACTCTCTATGGGCTACATTCATGTTCCCTCGGAGAACCCCACCGAGAACAATGCCACTTTTAAGGAGTTTATTTCACTGCTAGCTCGACCTCCACTGTGTACTACTTTTTATCTTGCCTATAAACTAAAAATGAATGCAAGTATTAATTATAACTTAATTAATGCATAGGTTACTTTTAATCATGGTGCCTACTCCTATATAATGTCGGACTCTTTTATTTCTAACATTGCTGTTGTTATCCACTACAGCTAGTTATATTTTCCAACAAAGACTTTTGTTCTATAACGCCTTAGAACTTATCTTTCCCATCCGTCCCCGTTATAAAGCATTGGTTTCCATGTCAGCTTAAATTAAATATGGAAGCAGATAGTCACTAAATGTAGGGTGCGCGACACGAACGAATTTTCAGTCCCTTAGTGAAGTTAGGACCATTTGCCTTTTAGTTTCCAACACGACGCAAAGAAGTATTGAACATGATACTATTCTGGCATTCTTATGGACTCACATTTTAAGAACTACGCATGACGGCTGCATAGGGCTTCCAAGGCAAAGCTCTCAGCTGCACAAATACGTCATCTGTTGGGACTTCCATCAGTTGCTGTTGCTCCTTGCCGTTACATTATGCGAAACGTTCAACCATTCCTCATACCATTTGGCAATTTTCACAAGACTTCCTCAAAATGCGGACAAAACGAGGATAATTTACAACGCAGACAACCGTAATTACTCTAAAGATCTAGGGCTAATAAAGCAGACCAAATAGGTCAGGGTATATGAGTGTTTTTGCACTTTCACATGCATGATGTTCATAATAATTAGTGGCTCAAGTTCCACAATATGCATCCTCTTTGCTAGCAGAACTGTGGTGGAGTTAGAGTTTTCCGTAGTTGGACTTGTCTTCCATCAGCACGCGTTACTACCAGTCTGTATCCTCAACTAGGAAGAAAAAGAAGTAAGAATTGTGACTAAAATACGTTATATGTGTTGTAGCCAGTACGTAGTACTGGCGACTTGACTTGACATTCTAGAGAGTTTGTTTCCTTGATCGGAAGGGATGATGTCATTTTGTATGCATTCATTTATTCTACCACATCTCCAATACGTCTGAAAATGCAGACTTGTCAGAGTACTAACGCATTTAAATAACAGTTCCGTTCTGCATGACAGTCGAGGGAGAGATTTCGAGCAAAAGAACTAAAAAATTTCAATACGCTTCAGTAGTATTTTCAACGAGGTAGCGACAAGAAATATTATGATAGGCAATAAAAAGCAGCCTTGACATATTTAAATAATAAATTTTAAAAAAGTGCATGAAATTTTGCGTTTAGTAGAAATACAACACTTCTTAATAATATTATACCTACTGGAAGACTTGGCATCTCGCATTCGACAGTGATCGCCATGGCAATACAGTATTTCATAAATCGGTATAGATATTCCAGTTGTTTCTGAAAATGCGAAGAACAAAGACATAAGCCAAACCATGAAGAAATACACACATATGCATGCATCCATAAGGACTTTAACTCTTATTGGGTAATTCTACTCCGATCTGTTTCAAGGTGTACCCACCCTTCTATCATTGTCATGTTTTTGCGAGTTAATTGGAACCCCAATTGTAGATGTTACTCGCCAACTATTAGTAACAATGGTATTTTACCGACAAACGGAGACCACAAGCTGCGAAGCTTTTCTGCCTTTTTGGGCGTCATCAGGCGGTGGTAGGTCGACTCCAGCGTAGCAGCGGGAATTAACTTTAACTCTATTAAGTTCCATACCTTGTGTCAGGGGACTTGAGAAGGATGCATCACGGATGCATTTGCTACGTTCGGGGTGAAAACCAGCGCCTTTTATCCAAATCTATAAGGAAATCTTATTTTATTTCGTCTAGAAATAATTTCTTGTAAATGCTTACTGCATCTAAACACGCGTGCTGTCAAAGTATGTAAGTCGGAAAGTGTTTGTCAAGTTGTCTCGCACGATGTCATCCAAAAGAACAAAGTTTGCGGAAAGCCAGACAAGTGTACTTCTTAGAATTCCATATGGTTTACAAAGTGATTTAAATTAAATTTCTTGCCATAGCAGAAGTAAACGCACATTTGACTGACCTTATTGTTAACCAAGTTTGATCGCTGTTTACGCAGCGACAGAACAGTCCCAAAAACATCAATGTAGTTGGAATTAGTTTGTAACTGCTGCAGCAATGAAACCGCGCAGATAAAAGTTCCCACTCTGCCGTCTGTGGAACTGAAAGTAAAAAATAATATTTAAGGGAGGGGCAGGGGCAAAAACTAAGAGTTCTCCTAGAGTATGATTTTTGTATAACCATCCTGTTTAATTAACGCCATATTTGTTAATACAAGCGAACATACGAGTCCCAGGAAGTTAGTGAAAAGTAGAAGACGACTCCATCGCTGAGACAATTTGTTTATTCGCCGGCTACACATTCAAATTTGATGAAGCCGAAATTCTCGCAAGAGGTGACAATCGAGT